TTGCGTGTAAGGCAGGTGTTTAAAGACCTGATTTATACGAGTTGGGTTTGTTCTGCATCCTTTTGTGGGAAGAATAGCAAAAACATTTCCTGCTTCTGAATCAGTTAGTTAGCTTCTGGAAAATTAATAAACCTGTTGTTATCTACTTATGCAGCCGAATGACCTGTTTTTATTGCACGCTGAAGCGCAATAAAATAAAAAAAGGATGCCGTGAAGGAAAACTCACAGGCCTCATTTGAATGCCTAACTGAGTTTGTTTACTTTAAGAGAACAATAACAGTGTAATGGATGTCTGGTGCAGAGCTAAGTACATCCTTGTACAAATGTGATTTATGTGATGGTTTCTGAATGCTAACCACTGTTAGCAGAGCCTCCGTAATTATTGTACCAGCGCTGCATGTGGGCACATGCTGGCACAGCAGTGTGCAAGGGAAATCTGAAGGAAAACTGGGAGCCGTTCCTAGTGCGGGAAACCTCCCACCCTGGAAGCAGGAAGGGAGGGTGTGGGGATAGTGAGCGTAGATCCATATATCATGTTAAGGCAAGCATATTTGCTTAACTGGAGGCTCTTTGACAGGAGCAAGGACAAAACCATTCATTCCTATAACTCATTAACCACCAGTGGGTCATAGGCAGTATCCAAACCATGATCTGACAGTGTATATCCATGATGTTAAAATGCAGTGGCCCAATAGAAAATACTTGTGCTGCCTTCAAGTACATGTTTCCTTTAACTTGAGTGACCTGTGTCTTTGGAGGTAGACGTTAAACTTTACTGGGAGTGCTTTTTTGGGATGCTCCTGTGGATGCAGGTGTGTAACTTATACAATAACTTCGTGCAGTATACAAAATAAAGGCTACTGTGTTGGGCAGTAACTCCATACGGTAAGAAGATGCGCATCTTTAAGAGATACGGCTGATGCTGTTGTAGGTAAACAGAGTATTCAGAAGTTGCCACAATTATGGAAGATAAGCACAGTTTTCAAGGGAGTTTTTATGGGTATAATCAAAAGATATTCTTACTCATCTTTGAAGCTCATTTCAAAATTGCACATAATTACTAAATATTTCCCACATGAGCTTTGCAGCTTGATTCCCTTAACTAGATAATATAGCATTAAATTTAGTATGCATATTTCTAAGATTGAAGTTCAGTGATATCTTCAAAGATATTTTTGATTATTTTTCTTGTAATTCATTTTATTCTAAGTAGAAATGGTTATCAATAATCCATTGTGTTCCAAAGGTGTCTTCATCAAAATTTTACAGATAAAGTTAAATTAACATTTAAAGTTGTCAGTAAAGAAGTGGCATACACAGTGTAAAAGCTACTCACATAAACCATTTATTTAATATTAAAGCTGCATATTGATTTTGCATATTTGTATGAGCTACTGACTCCCACGTGCGAGGAATAGGTCTTTGCTATTGGGAGATTCTGATATGACTACTGACATAGGACAGAATTTGAGCATTTGTTCTGAGCAGCTTCGCTTTGGGCTCTTGTTATTATTCAGGCATCTTCTTTTTCTCTCAGTTTCATACTGTTGGGGTTTTCTTTCTTGTTCAGCATGGGAAATGGAAATAAAAATTGTTACTGAATTTGGTGCATTTGGGGCAGAAGAGGGGCAGAATCTTAGTCCGATTTTATGCAAGACACCATCAAGATGAGGCATACTCTTGAGGATGGTATAATAAGCTAAAGGACATCACAAATGTTTAATTGAGTTGGCAAATTAGATATGTTGTAGACAAATCTCTCATCGCTGAAATGAAGTAGAAGAACCTGGATTTAACAGGTTTCAAACAATATTCAGAGTTTGCACATGGACAGATTGCAGTATGGGATTTGGACAGTCCTGTTAAGGGCCTCGTTTTGAAAATTCACTTCCTAGCATTCTTTATCTACATTATGAATTCCTTCTTATAAGAATGAAAATACAGGGCAATGGATTATTGTGAGTAATGTTTGCTTAATATATTGTGATAAATTGCTTGTCTGCAGAAAAAAGTCTTTTGTCAGTCCAGTTATTAAACTTCACTTGAGATCCGTGGCAGTTAAGTATTTGAAGCAATATGGCACACCAACAGCAATGAACATAATGGTTCAATCCACAAAATGTGCTTCTTACTCCAAAATCATTTATGATTCAGACATTTCAGTCTGATGTGTTTGTGGTGTGGTTAACTATTATCTGTGCTACTGAAACGGTCTGGTAATCCACAGAGTAAAATACCCACTTCAAAATAAATTTACTGCTGCTCATGGGAGTTACATGCCCAGCTTTCACTTTTAGTTTACCCACAGGAATCCCACACGTGAATTTTAAAGACCAATTGGAGGAATGTAGGTGGTAATTTCAGTCATCTGTTTCTGGCTGAAAAGCCAGATAGAAACTTAGATAAAAAATCGTTGCAGCAACTGTTCAATTTTAGTGCACAAAGGGGAAGTGTTAGGTGCTTTAAAATTTAACCCTGTTACCTGAAAGCAGGGATAGTTTGGGAGCAAAGATGGAATTTGGAAAGTTGGGGAGTCAAGAGAAGCTGGCAAAATTTTAATAAGTGAATTAATTTTAAGAGTGCTTTGGTATCTGGGAATTAGAACTGAATGCCTGCAACTTCTTAGCGCTATAAAGAGAAAAGAAATGCAGAATTAGTCTACCAGTTCTTCCACACATCGCTGTCACTGGATAGCTGTTAGCACTTACTAGTCACTCCTTCAATAGGCCATGAAATTGTTCCAACTTTTAAAATGTGTGAGAGAATTAAGGCAGGTGCTGGCACATCATAAATGAAAATCAAGTCCTCAGGCTGGTACAGTAGTGACATTGTTACTGTTTGCTTTCTTGAAAACACATGGCTCTTTAAGTCATGATAAAATTATTTTCTGCCTGTTGTATTATTAAAACTCTGTGGGGTATTTGGGCTATAAAGTATTTGGGCCCAATAAGAGCTTCTGACTTACAGGTCTGAGAAAGAAAAAAGATATTTCTTCGTATTCAGTCCATGAGTATGTTGTTTTTTTGCTGTGATTGACTTGTGTCACTTGGTAGTTGTGATGTTTGATAGCTGTTGGGTTACACAAGGAAGATGTGCTACAGAAGGACCTCACACATCTGCTGTTGGAGGAACCAAACACTGAAGCATCAACAGTTCTGAAAAACCTATTGATTTCTCTCTTTCAAAAAAAAAACTGTCAAAACAGTAATATCATTGAAAACAACAAAGTCATATTTTAATTTATGATTTTTTGATATAATTTCATAGCATGAAATTTAATCTCATAGCAGAACAAATTCCCAGCATATACATTAAATGAAAAAGCAGAATAAGCAGAGGAATCTTCAGTCCACAGCTATTTTTCCCTAGCTATTTAGACAAGAAATTCAGTGAATTACTAGGCAGCTTTTTATCTCAAGCAACCATTTCTCTTCCCCAAGCAGTGTTTGACCTCCAATTTCTTACAAGGTTCTTCTTATGAGTAAAATAAGTAGGATCTTACTACCTTCTGACAACTTCTATCCTGTCTTCCAAAACATATACCAGACTAGAATATAAAGACATCTCAACTGTACCTGAAATTCTGTTAAAAGTTCAGATGAGTGAGCTAAGTCACAGTCAGCTTTAGGAAGCCCACATATTTCTCTTACTAATAATAGAGTCATTTAATGACTCTTAAGTACTAATTTAGTCACTCTATAAAACTATATGTATATATTTTTAGTTTTATCTTTCCTCTCGTAATACAGCATTAGGGAGATGAAAAGTAACATATTCTATTCGTAACGAAAAATGCCCGTGTTTGCTTTTTATATTTCTTTTTCTAACTGGAGAACTGAAATACTGCCGCCTTTTGTAATGTCCCTTACTAGGAAGGAAGAATTGCAGACTATACGATAGGATCACTAACCTATTTTCCTTCTTTTTACTTTAGTGTTTTCTTCCAAAATGGTTACACGTTTGTGCTTTGAATCTGTATTTTGAAGTCTCATCCTTTTTGCTTTTACTAATTTATGGTGAGAGCAGATCCTGTATTGCCAAAGCTGTGCATAAGGCAATCAGTGTCCTCTTGGAAACCACCCCATATAAAGAAGTGCTGTTAACTTACACGCAGCAGCTGTTGGGAGGAGACTGCACCGTGCATGCCAGCGAGGGGTTTATAATGTTATTACAGACCACAAAAAAATTAATAATTCCACTGTCCATTCACAATGGGCCACTCGTGCTCCTGGCTCGATAGCACGGATGTGTGTGTGCACTTTGTCTCCTTTACTGTCTAAAACTGTACATTAACTCTGCTGTTGCATGGTATGAGAGACTATTCAGAAGGTCTAGAGGTTCAGACATCCGTGTAGAGGATGATTTCTGCTTCATCCTCTTCACCTTCCTCTCACTGCACCTCAGTTTTAACATACCCATTTTCCATAAGCATTAAAATAAAAAATACTTACTTTTCCCAGTCTTCCTGCTATGTTTCCAGTAAGGTTCAAGTCACTGTTTGCACGATTATGTTGTATGCTAGTATGACACAATTTTAACTGATTTTAGGGACACTCCCAAGGTACTGCTATATTCCGTTTTAGAGACAGGGAACTGAGGCACAGAGGGCTAAGAGCAAGTTTCCCAAACCTAACTTTAGGCTCCATCTAGACAGGTAAAGCTAGGTGATAAATTGTACCCTAGATGACTTACCTAAGATTATATTAGATGTCTATAGCAGGCAGTGTCTCGAACTCAGCTATTCCAAATCCTAAACTACTGCTCTATTTAGTGGAACATATTTGCTTCTGGAGCTAAACAAATATATTTGTAGGAATTTGTCTGTAGGGATTCAACATTCAGAATGTTGCTCTTTTCTGAGGATTAACGAGAAGAATTACTTTTTTTCTCTCTTTTTTTTTTGTATTATTTAAAGGTTTTGTAACTTTGCTGCTTAAATAATCGAGAACATCGTCTATGATACTGGGCTTCATGGTTTCTCTGCCAATTGTTTTCCACAGATACAACGCTCTCAGGGGAAATTGGCACAAAGAAAAAGGTGAAAAGACTGTTAAGTTTTCAGAGGTATTTCCATGCATCCCGGTTACTGCGTGGAATTGTACCACAAGCCTCTCTGTACTTACTGGATGAGGACTACCTTGGGCAAGCAAGGGTAAGAAAGACAGGTCTCCACATCTGCATTTCTTCCAGCAATACTCCAGAGAGCATCAGCTCTATTTCAGTGTTCAGATAAGTAAGTGCATGGTTGATCTTCCAAAAATGATCTGAGCTGCCTCACTCGAAACATACTGTAGGCTTCTTCTGACTTTTATGTCATAGCCTTAAAAATTGAGTCCCAAAGCAAAAGGGAAAGCTGTTCAGCATTTCAGATACTGTTAACTGAAATTATAATCTAGATTTAATAAATGATGAAGGATCCCTAACTGAGTTCCTGCATTAAATGAGTGCAGCCTGGACACAGGATTTAAGTTTGTGCATGCAAAACCTGCAGCACTCTGTCAACTGATACCTAGCAACTATTAGGGCAAAACTAGGAAACAGGAACGTTCACTACAAAGAACTTCATGATACTCAAATATAGCTCTTTTATTTTACAACTCTTATAAATGCTCTGAATTACACTTTCTAACAGAAATTACACCACTGACATGTGTAGGATTACTTGCACAGACAATTTTTAACTCTCTGCAATAGAATATTGCAAGTCAGGTGTTAGAAATCAGTTAGGACTCCAGAATGGATCTGAATATAGATTAAGAAATCAGAATGAACACACAGAAGTTGCCATTATCAGTCATACAGTTAGTCCAGACCTGGTCTATTGACTGAACTTGGCATAGCTGCAAAAACATTACTTGTGACGGTAAGGATAAATTCTTCCGTGTACTTCATAGAAGCACATTCCAAGTATCTAAGTTTATAAAAGCTGTTCTTCTGTGTTGTTTTGTTTAGCAAAACATAATGAATATTGACCTGACTGATGCATGTCATCTATATTATACTTTATTGTAAAAGAAATACTGAATTCATTTTCTGATGTGAAGGACAAATATGAAAACTGTGCCTAAAATGGCATATTCTTCATAATATTTCATTTTGACTCTAATTGAAGGTCTTTTTATTGTCAAGTTCAACACTTCCTCAGTTAAAAGAAAAAGAAGTACTTCAAGCAATACTGAAGCCTGATGTTTCATATACATCTTTGTAGCTTTCCTGAACAGAAGGTCAAATCTGCAGCAATCAATTCTGTGCCTGAATAATGTGGAATAAAAATTTAAGCCTCTTTTACAGCGTGACATGCCAGTCATTTGCCTTTTCATATTTGTTTTCTAGCATATGTTATCCAAAGTGGGAATGTGGGATTTTGACATTTTCTTGTTTGACCGTTTGACAAATGGTAAGTATTTTTTAGCAAGTTTTATTATAAGAATTCTCCTATATGACTGTTCTAAAAATCCCTAATTAATTATCTTTGGTTAGCTTTTTCTATTTAGACTATTGAAGAAAAATTGTGCATAGTTAATCGTAACCTGGGACATATCCAGGCTTTCTCCAGAACTTTCACAGCTATAGTGTAGCGTTTAAAGTATGTTTTTTATGTTAATCTAATCTCTTGCATTTGTTATGGTCACTTTTTGCTTGTTTATTTTGAAGGGTTTATTCAGTTTCCTTTATCCTGGAAATTCCAGAGGTACTTTAAAACATACCTATTAGAAATACAGTCCAGATCTCTATAATCAATCAATTGTGAATCAGCATAAAATCCCTTGGGCAGAAAAGAATCCTGTCATTCAGCAATTAGGAAATGATGTTAAGATTTTTTACTTTTTTAAAAAATCATACATTTTTACATTTCTCGAAACATTACTACTGAATGACGTAGTGCAAGCTTTTCTAAATGTTGAATATACATGTCGCTGATCATGTAACACCTGTTAGGCTCAATTTTGTCAGTTGCCAGTATTGATTTCATATAAGGCGCACACATAACATCAAGGTGAGACATGAGACTATGAATGATGCAACTCATTTTCTTTTGTGCCTGTTAGTATTGCCAGATCCTGTCATGTGGTACGTATGTGGATTATTCGCATGTTTGCAGAGTCATGTATAAAATAAAATAAAAGCTTTAATTACGAACTGCTGACTTACCAGTAAATTGTAACAGAAAATTTCTAAAGAAAAATTCTAAGTTTGATCTTACCCTAGCTGAAACTAATACAATACAGCTAGCAAGTGCTAGAAAAGCCATTCTCCTTTTCTGTATTTTCTGGAAGCAGGCTTGGATTATGAAGATGATATGGTTCTCAAACAATACTATTGTAAGATTTGCAGATGGCAGCGTATCAGTTCGCCCTGTGTCACGATGAAATAGTAAGCATGACTTCTACAGCATCTGGACACAAGAATTGCTTTCCATTGATGCAGATTGACAGTCTTGATTATGTATGGAAGCAACTTATATAAGCAACTCTTGAGTATATGCATGAGCATCATCCAAGCTCACATGAGATGCAGAAAACTACCAAGATGTTTAGTCATGCCCGATTTGCCACTACACCTACGTAATTTGTTCACTGTTAAAGGAACCTTAACCGTTTTTCTTCCTGTTTGTAGGAAACAGTCTCGTAACATTGCTTTGTCATCTCTTCAATGTGCATGGACTTATTCACCATTTCCAGTTAGATATGGTTACACTACACAGGTTTTTAGGTAAGTAAATGCTCATCAAAATCTTCTTTCAAATCAGCATACAGCTTAAGGAGGGCACAGAAGAAGACATAGTCTTGAGCTGAAAGTTTACGTAAAATAGTGAAATTGTTGCAAATGTTTCAGTAAACCAGTTCTGCGAAATATATTAATACACAATTTACAGGCACTCAAGTACTATTTTCAGTACCTGTTAAGTCAGGGAAGAATTCAGAAGACTGTATTGGGCTTAAGCTTTCCAGTACCATAGTTGCATTGTTGATTTTTAAAAATTTCTGTCATGCAGAGACGTGGCAGACAGAGCAGGCCCACACAGACAGGCACACATTGCAGAACCTACCCAGGCACAATGAAATTGTGGTGCAATGTCATTATTTTAGTGACTAATAGACCACTGAGACCCAGGGCAAAAGCTTATGTGCAAAATTTAACAAATTATATCAAGCTGTCTACACTGAATAGTGTTGATGAAAGCCCCTGCTGCTGTTATTGCCAACAGAAATATTAGACCCATGCTGTCAGCAAACCAAGAGAAGAAATTGGCCAAAATCAATTACTTTTTGCATTATGTTTTGAATACAGCTGAATGCCAATTTGTCAGACTGTCAGAGAGAGCTTCAAAGGCAGGGTGTCATCTTTAAGATGCATAATTGTCACTTCTGGAAAGCATTCCTCCAGTTCAACTCAGACAGGATCTCTAAACCTTTTCTAGCTGCTTTGGGCTGATATGCAATGGACTTTCAGTTAATAAGAGGAGTTTAGAGGATTACCAACTGTAACTTCGGATGCTGTGGAAAGGAAAACAAACTGCAAGCTCTTCAGCCCACTCTGTGCTGGAGAGTAGTGCCACTGCAGTTTTGGCTGTTACCTCTTAGTTTTATTAATTTGCTCTTCAAGGAGAGCAATTTGGGCAAAATCACATCCAGTTTCCTATGTGCAAGTGGTGTTGCCCCAGGATTTATAGTAGATCATCTAATGTTGCAGGCAGAGCTGCAAGGCACAGATGAGTTTGAAGCACAAATCTCAATGATTTTCTTGTGCTAGTGGAAGCTGAGAATTAAAAGGCTGGCTCACAGTCTTCCAGGTGGAACAGTTCCAGCACTACAAATTAAAACAAGAGGGACTGGTATGCTAAATGGAAACGTAGATGTGAGCAACACTATCAACAGAGTTTTGCTTCAAATACCCAAATCTTTCAATTCCCTGCCTGCAGGATGCAGGAATACCTTTGGCTATAGTTAGTCACTCAAATAATAAATGATGTGAGGCTATGGGGACCTCACCCCCTGTTGTTGTAAAATAGGTGGTACTGCCTTAATGACATATTACTCGCCTATGACAGCAACCTAAATAATTACACTCCGTTGTGGATAGGTTTGCCTTTTTTTCCTTATTTATTTTATTCCTGAATGAGAGCCTTCAGTAGGACAAGAAAGAGTTGATTTATGAACTAGACCCAGTATATCCCCTTGGGCCTCACAAATCCTTTCATACACTTTTTTTTTTTCTCTAAAAGCATCCCTATAAAAGCACCAGTCTATGCACACTTGAGATATTTGAAGAAACTCAGCTGACTGTAAAACTCTGAATTGTATTTTAAATCCAATTTCCAATTGTGGCCACGAAGTTCAGAGACCAAAGGATCTTTGTCTTCTGTTTTGGTTCCTAGTTATGGTTCAAGAAGATTACCATAGCCAAAACCCCTACCACAACGCCGTCCATGCTGCTGACGTTACACAAGCTATGCACTGCTATCTAAGGGAGCCCAAGGTAAGAGCAGCCTTTCACACTGATCTTGCTTTCAGATAATTCTCAAATTGTTTCCCCAAGATTTAAAAACAAACACACTATTTTTAGATAGTGGTAAACGATTGCATGCTAGAAGTCGGCAATGAGTCAATGGAGTCAGCTACAGATTCCAGCTGCTGGAAACAAGCTGCTCCCGTCACTTCTCGCTACACGGATGATATATCAGAGCGCTGTCACAGGAGCTCTGGCAGGATTTACTGCAGCAGTGTGTGGCAGTCGCCCGCCGGGGGGTGCGGCCTCCCCG